TCCGGTCCCCTTTGGAAGGAGACAGGGGAAGAGAGCCGTGAAGAGAGGTGAGCACACCGCCAGCCCCAACCAGCCCGGTTTAAAGGACACTCAGACGCGGCGGGGGTTCTGTCGAGCAGTTCCGTTTATTATCACACAAGCACTTGCTTTTAAGGGCAAATGGGGAAGGGAGGTTTTTTACATCCTCCAATCAGCTTAAAGGTCAAGGGCATGCATCCTGTCTCAATGCCTAGCTATTGCAACCACACAGTGGTCACGAGCGCAGAAGCATGTATTTGGCCAATAAGGGCTAAGGCAAGGTTCCCGCAGACACTCCCACCCTACTTCCTCCCAGCGCCATCTTAGGCTGCCACATTAATACACCCTGTGGGCCCATAATGGTGCTGCTTGTAATGTCACTTAAGGTGGCGTTAGTTTTTAAGGCCCGACACATATGAATGACGGGGGGGAGGGGAGGTGTCACAAACATCCAGTCTATTGTAATATGTAATATTGTTTTCTGTGAGGAGTGTCCTACTGGGAGAAGTAAGAGCTTCTACCACCACTGTCATGTTTCAGCAGTGGGTAAAGGTGAACTCAAGTGACCCAAGTCTGGAAGGCTCTGGTCTCATTGCTGCTAAGGTAAGCCTGATATGTCCTCACCTTTAATAGATGGCAGTCCTGGCACAGTCCTTTTGAGTAGTTTGGACAGTGCTCTGCCAGCAGATAAAGATGGCTGTAAGCTAGATGTTTAGAAAGGGACTGGGGTTTCATGGACTTCCTCTTCTAATTAAGTAGAACTGGAGCTAATGGCTTAGTGGTTGTTCTGTAATCAGGCCCTGCTACAAGTAGTTAAGGAGGTTGGCAGTGGGAACCAAAAGAACCTGCAGGGACATGAGTGTGGATGTGAACAAGGCTGGGAAGAGTCCCTGACAGGACTTCTGAATCCAAAGCCAAGAATGTGGCTTCCATTGAGTTATAAGACATAGGAGTGATTTTGAGCTATGGCACTCAGAGATGAAAAACTGGATTGTATCATCTTGTCCTGGAGTTACATTGACAGTGTGGGGGGAGGGGTAATAAAAGGAACAAAGGCTCTGAATCCAACCTGGTTTTGAATCTGGAGTTTATCACTTGCTAGCCAGGTAACATTGGATGAGTGATTGGAACCTCTCTGAGCCTCAGATAATTCATCCGTGCAATATGGTTTGCATGGTGTTGTTGAAGTTTGATTATGTGTAGAGACCCTGGCACAGAGGATACATTTAATAAATGGTCACTCCTGCTGTACTTATTATCATTTTATGATCACCATTGGCAATATTACATTACATTCATATAGTTGCTATAAATTACAAAACACTTTCACATGTTCTTACTGATTTCAGTCCAACTCGCTCCTGTACACTTCTGTAACCTTCCTCTGTCTTATGTTGTTATCACATGGGTGTACCTGCCAACCCCATTGGACAGAGAGCTCCTAAAATGGGGGGAATCACCACTTACGGATGCCCAGTGCTGGCATAAACTAGAGGCTCCATTCCCATGTATCACAGACCTATGGAAGGAAGCACTTTCTCACAACCAGAGTGCTTCAAAAAGACAGCAAGAGGCTTCAAGAAGATGTAAGCTCCCCATTCTTGAAGATATGTCAGGGGCTACCTGGCAGGGACATGGTTGGGAATTAGCTGCACTGGCTAGGAGGCTGGCTTCAAAGAGATGGTTTCGAAGCCCCTGCTTTGGATTCTCTTAGTGTTTTAATTGAATGAAGCAGTTCTGATGTCCTCTCAAGTTCATTCAAAGGCATATTTATATTCACCCAAGTTTATGGACCCTCTGCAAAGTAAGCCAGGCGTGGCTGGCCTTGGGTATTCTTCCTCTCTCTGCCTCTACTGCTCCTCAAAATTTACAGTACTCACCTTAGCCCCAGTTATGAAAATTTTAAATTTAAAAAAATTTTAAAAGAATACCTTTATGTGAAAGGCAGTATTTTTCCAAACATCAACTTGATTCTAAACATTTTAGCAGCATACCCTATATAACCTTTTGGATTTGTATTTTCTCTTTTATAGAATAAAAACTTCAGTGCCACTGCCTCAAGAGTTCTGCAAGTTCACATTATGTAAATATATGTAATAAAATATTTACTTAGGGTTTCCATAAAATAGGTCCAAAGGAGAGAATAAGAGAGCTTCTCTTTGCTGGTTTTAGAGGCTCTTCTGGGAGTTCTGAGTGAAATTTAAGCCTCTTAAATATGTTTTGGTTGGCCTCCTTCATGTTTTATCTCCTGTAATGAACTCCTTGTCAGTTTGTCAATTTTGACTAAGGACAGAAAGTTCATGTGTAGTAACAACACAGAAACTGAATTTAAAATTATGGTTTGTATCATGTAATAATCCTCTCCCTTTTCCTTTAGTCAATATTTACCTGTTAGGCCAATATATTATAATGCTGACTTCAAAAGAAGACACTTTATTTTACCTTCTCCAAGTATTGGTTTTAGATACTTGAAATATCATAACTTGAAGTTGAGCCGTCTGAGACTCTTGGCCGCATTTACTTGGGGTTGAGTTCCATGATCTTCCCAAGGCAGGTTTCACTGCTCCCAGTGACCTGGCGACACAGCTGTATGCCTGTGAGAATGAGGCAGCTGAACTTGGAGTCATGCTGGTTTCTCTCAGCTTTCCAGACAGCCCTCTCCTCTGTGGGAAACAGGTCTGTGGTATTACCCCATAGCAGCAGGGATGTCTTCGGTGGACTTAGCTTTTCCCCAGTATATTAATGTTTCAGGATTGGAAAGAAAAACCCAAACAACACCCTGTAGGAGGATGGTCTCTGAGTGTCAGACCAGATGAAGAGTGGAGACTCCTAAATTCTTTTCCTTGCCTGAACCCCTTATTTTAAGCACCCCATGTTCAAACATTTTTTCATTTTAAAAACTGAGGGAATAATTATACCCCCAGTGAAGAAGGAGTAGGAGTATAATAAATAGCTACAAAATTTGCAGATAAAATGTGTCATACTTTAGGACTGGTCACCAGGTGACCAAGGGAGCAAATGGTTAATGAGCTCTTCTGAGTCAACTTGGGCATCAGTCAAGATTCTCCCAGTGAGTCATAACCGAAAGGAAATTGATTGGCTCATGAAGTGCCAAGTCCACAGGTAGACTAATTTCAGGTGCACCTGGATCCCGGAGTTCAAATGAGGTCATCATGATTCTTCTTTTGTTTCTTAGACCTATTATTTTCTATCTTGGCATGATTATGTGGCAAAGATGTTTCCTGGCAGCTCCAGGCTTATGTGGTCCTTAGTGTCTGGGATCTCAGGAGAGAGCCTCTTTCTTGAAGTCCATCTCAATGCCTGAAAACAGATTCAGAATAAATCTACTTGGGTCAGTCAAATGCCTATGCCTAGACCAGTCACTGTCAGCAGGGATGCGATATAGTGGAATTGCATTAAGTGTGTATTTCAGTTTAAGCAAATTCAACTCTGTGCTTGTGTCTTCAGTGTGCTTTTATCTGCCCATGATGTTCTCTTCAAGCTATGTACTCATTCTACATGTGTACTTTTTAATATATTCTGTCCATTTTGTGCATTTTCATGCACACACATACATGTATATGTAAGTTCGTGTGTACATATAAGTATGTGTGCCTGTGTGTCTGTGTATTTATATTCACAATATGCTATATTTTATAGATGATTTACAAGATGTTCAATAGTAAATCTTAAGTTTATAACCTAATTACCTCCACAGCCCCTCTTAAGATACAATTCCACTAGTCTGGGTCATTTAACCACATCTCCATCAGAGCCGGAAGGGAAGGCAGGGCCTGTTAAAAGATAGCTCTACCCGGAAGGGAAGGAGTAGTCCTAAAAGGTAAAAAAGAAAGTAGGTTTTTTTTTATCAGAAGGAAAGGCAACAGGCAAACAAACCAACTATTGAGTTGTTCACTCAGCAAATAGTTATTGAGTGCCTCCTGTGTGCCAGACAGTATTTCAGGCACCGAGTGAAAAATTTTGTGTAATGTTCACACAAAAGGCCCTGATCTGCTGGAGGTTACGCTGAAGGGAGAGAGGCAAAGAACAAACATGTAAACCGGTAAAGATATTGGTAGTGGTGAGAGCGCTAAAGAAGACCCTGGTAAGCATCATACCATATGGAGTAGGTGCTTTAATCGAGCAGGTGGAGGAGACAGAGGGTAGAAGAATCTCTTCCTTGGGGATTCTCTTGCAATTGACCCTTATAAGGTAAGGAAGATTTTGATAGACAGATCCTGTTGAGATTATCCCAAGTATCAGAAAAAGCCTGAGCCAAGCAAACATCTGAATAGGGTGAGGTAAGATACATTCAGGGAGTGGGAAGAGGTTTCCCATGACAGAGACATACAGAGCACATGAAGGATGGGGCCAGAAGACTGACAAGGTAGACTGGGGTAAGACCATGCAAGGACATGAATAACGGGCTAAGGAATAACATCACCAGGTCCATGTTTAGAAAGATTACAGTAACAGTGTAAAGGGCTAGGTAAGAGTGTACCGGGACAAGGTTGGGAGGCCAGGTATGGAGACCCAGGTATGTGTCGAGGGGCTTTGGCCAGTGTGAGTGAACAGCAAGGGCAGAGCTGTCAGAAGCAGCATCTGCATGATTTGGGGATTAACTCACTTCTAGTGATCTGATGGATTAGTTCATCATCCAGAATGAGCCACGTCTTCTTTTGCAAGTGTACTTATGTTTACTCAAAGATTCGAAGCCTTTAGAAACGGGACACATCTTGTGGAAATGTTTAATCTTGTTTATTCACGATAAAAAATCCCATCATCTTTTGGTGTACAATGAGCAAAGTGACAATAGTGCAGGTCATGGGGGTCAGATGCAGTGCCCGGCAAGAATGGAAATGGTGGCCGACACTTCAGATCCTGTGGCGTCTGGGAGTGACATGCGTTCTTGGAAGGATTCCTGGGGCAGGATTGCTCTGGCCTTCCAAACCGGGCTGATGGTCCTTCTTGTGCATTTACAGGCAATTTTGAAGTGGGAGTTCACATCGCTGACGTGAGCTACTTTGTTCCTGAGGGGTCTGATCTGGATAAAGTGGCTGCGGAGAGAGCCACAAGTGTCTACTTGGTTCAAAAGGTAAAAATTAGTCTCTAGTTTCTTGGTTTAAAAAACGTGCTTCCATTTAGTCTTTCTACTTTTTTGTTTTGTTTCCCTTTTCTCAAAAAAAGAAAAAAATTGTTAGGAATAGTAGTCTTGTCAGAATATCTTTCTCATATCTAATAAGGTCTTAAAAAAAGGACTGGGAGGATGCCTGGAAAATTGCTTACCCTCAGTTATTGCATATTTTCCTGAAGAGATGCCAAGGAAAGAAACATGTCTAATCTCAGAATGGCCCTGCCACGTAAGTGTCCCAAACAAGTGGTCAGCTTCAGAAAGAAATGAAAAATCCCTACTTTCAAACTATTGTTGCAAAGCAGGGCTCAGTAAACTCAGCCCACCTCAGCCACCAGTTTTTATAAAGTTTTATTGGAACCCAGCCACACCCATTCGTTCATGTATTGTCTATGGCTGCTTTCATGCTAGAACAGCAGATTGGAATGACAATTTATTACTTACTATAGGCCCTTTAAGAAAACTTTTTCTTTTTTTTTTTTTCCTTTTTTTGTCTTTTTTCGTGTCCGGCAACGGATCGCAACCCTCAGTGTCGTGCCCGTACTGCGACCGGCAACGGGATCGCAACCCTCGGTGTCGTGCCCGCACCGCGCTCAACCAGTGAGCGGACCGGTCTGTATATGGGATCCGAACCCTCGGCGGGAGCGCTGCCGCACTCCCAAGCACCGCACTCTACTGAGTGCGCCACTGGGCCGGCCCTTGAGAAAACTTTTTCAACCCCTGCTCTAAAGAGTGGATGCCAATCTGGTTCTGAACTGCCCTTTATAAGATAGCCATTGGAATCTCTCAGGTGGAAAAGCTAAGGGAAATTGGGCACTTTCTTCTAGTCCTGATTCCACCACTTCTGGTATGTCACTAAGTGTCTAAGACCTCCCTAGGCTCATCTGTGAAATGAAGGAATTGAACAGAATCATCTCAAAATGTCCTTTCCATTCTGGGGACCCGTACCTGGCACATCCATACAGGTAATCATGAGAATCCATTCCTTTAGCAAGTATTTATTGAACACCATTTCTCTGCCAAGCACTTCAGTAGGTGCTGGGAACAGTGGTGATGAAAGACTGTAAAAGAGATTTCTACCTCTCTCACTGTAGTTCACAAATTCTTCCAGGTTTCTTTCTCCTCCTTTTGACACTCCATTCATCTGCTCACTTGGCTCATCTTACTTTGGCTATATCTTGACTTTCACTTCTTGTCTAGCTTCCTTGAATTCAGTGGTCCAGCTTCGGAGCACTAACTTGAACTTTCCCTCCTCTCAAGCCCTGTGCCCTAGTACATGACTTCTGGTGTTTGTTCATTGACTGCACTAAGGTGAGGGGCATATCCCCCCCACCCACCCACACATACCAAGGCAGTCTGGGAAATGGATACCCTTTGCCTGGCTCCATCCTTCAGGGACAAGAGACCAACCCAGGTACCAAACCTACTCCATTCTAGGAACATCCAAGTGTCATCACTGAGGGAAAGGGTACAGCTGCCTGTGTGGTCTCTCTCCACTGCCTAATCTGGCCAGCAGCTCCCACTGCCACCACACCTATGTGCCCACACAACTGGCAGAAAGAAAAGCCTGGTAAACCATTGTGCTCTGGCTACTGCCTCTCTAACTCTTGGGGAAATTCATCCTGCTGCCTGCCCTAGATAAAGCTATTTAGTAGGGTACCAAGCTGTAGTTTTGAGGAAGCCACCAACATAGGGAGCCTGGAGAGTCCCTGGAAAGGCAGTTCTCTGAGGCTCTGAGCTTTATGACCTATGGATCTTGGCCCAAGCCTTGAGGCATTTCTGCAAGACTGTATTCCCCTTCTCCCAGTTCTCATTTATCTCTCTTCCCTTCCTCGCCCCTTTTAAAATAAGGGCTTGAGAAACTTGTGCTCCTGGCCACCTGAATCCCCACTTCCTGCCATTCCCCAGAATCAGTTGGCCCTTTTGTAAGTATGTTGTCTAGATGCTCTCAGGGCAGACCACTAGCGGTCTATGTACTGCTCACCCTGGAAATGTGCCCACCCTAGGGTCCCAGTAAAGCCAACCCCATGCTCTTATCATGCCTGGGCCTTGGCCATAGGGAAGAACGAGTCTCGTCCTGGCATTATAAAGGGGGTAGTGGATCTTTTTAAGAGCCACTATTTCCTGGATTCTGTTTTTGCAGCTAGAGGTCCAAAAACTGTTTTGACTACCTCATGTCAGTTCTGCCTCCTGGATGGCCGTGTGGCATCACCTTTATACTCACCACCTCCTCGTCACACCATTGCCCAGGATACCCAGTGAACATACCAACCAGCAGGAGTGTATTCAGACACAGAAACAGAGGAGCTTTGCCCACATTCCAAATGCACAATTGGCCTAGGGCCCAAGGCTTGTAAGTCCACCCAGCTATGATAGTATACTTCCTTTTCAAACCTGAAACCAAGGCTCTCTGCAAATAGACATGACAGCTGCATCAGGGGTTTCTTTTCTCTTCCTCTTTTCTGTGGAGCCCACTTCTTCCAGGACTACCCTGCTTCAGTGTGTCCATCATCTAAGGTTTCTGCCTGTTCCCACAGATCCAAGCCCATCTGTATCCACACTCTGATGCACAGAATTAACACACCTCCCACTTCAGCCACACCTGGCAACATGTGCAGCATGCCAGGAGATGGACTTCCAGACATACCTCTGCCAGGTCCAATAAACCATTGTTTTATTTGGTCTTTAAGTGCCCCAGCCATCTGCTAGCAATAAAAGCAGAGAATTGCTATTGAACAAAACGATTGTCACTCAAATGAATCATCATTCATTTCACCAGCCCAGCCTTGTATAGATCCTTCAGCATTCCCCTGTCTCAACACACAGTCCTCAATCTCTTATAACAGCACAGTCTTTCAAGAAGAGTGTGTTCTAGAATACCAGTACTCTAATTCTAGCAGAGTGCCTACGTGATGCTTACAAAGGCACTGGCAGTTCTGGAACAGAAGTCCTCTAGGATAATCCCAAAGTTCCTAGGATTTCTGGTATTTATAAATTGTTACTGAGAGTTTCCCTTATGTTTCCAACATGTCCACCCTCATAACTAATTTTTGAAAATGGAAGAGACTCTTTCAGGCTTTGATTGCAACCATGTCCTTTAGGGACTGAAGATCCTGTTGCCTGTGGCCAGAGTTTGGCTCCCCCAATCTATTTCAGGCCAACAGTTGACAGTGGTGTCTTCAACCCATGGTGAAGGTCACCTTGTCTCGTACCCTCTGCTGCTGCTCCAGAGGGAGCTAGCCCAGGTGGGCTTTCTTGTCACAGATGAGACCCAGAGCTGTCATCTGCTACGGTTGCCTTCAATAAGTAGTGGCCCTCCCTCCCCTACCCCATGACAGTACATTATGGATGACTACAACCTAGAATATTTGAACACCATAGTTCCCGGAGAACTGGACAGCTGGTTTCTTCAGGTGTTCAGCTTTGCGTGCCATTTATACTAGATGGCCAGAACTACCATGTAGGTATTGTCTGCCATACAGAATGGAGAGGGAGATGGAATTGGAGTTGATCAGAGCTGTAAAATTTTGAGTCAAAAGTTGCATAATCATCCAAACCCAGTTACAAGTAACCATGTCATGGACAATAGGTGACCTTCCCGCACAGTGGTGCCTCTAAGATCTAGAACCTTCAGGGACCACTCAATGAGAATGGCTGGCTAGCTGTATCCTCATGAGCAGGGGAAGTTCTATACCAAACTTTATTTTTGTCAAACAAACCATGTCCTTATATGGCTTCTGTGGACTGTTTAGACCTAAGTGAAGTGTTTGACTCCATTCCTCACAATGTCTATGACACCTGAGCCCAGGATGTGGGCAGATATAGAAAGCTTAAGGGAATGCAGCACAAACCTACGACCCATAAATATCTCTGAACATGAACATACTTGGCTTCTTCCCTGACCTCCCCTTTGTGGCCATGAAACCAAGTCCCTCACCATTCCATTGCCACCTATGTGAATGGCTTTCCTGGAGCACAGCTCCACATTGCTGGCCTTCAGTTTACATCTGTATTTTTGGAGGGCCTGTTTGGCACTTTTCAAGATAATATCCACCTGGCCTTTACTCATAACCAGACAGGACTTATTAACCTGATACCAGAAGAGTTATCTTTACTACTAAGAACGTTCCTTGTTCACAGTTTTTTCACTCCTTTATTTAATATCCCCATTCATAGTAACTGTAGCTTTATCTTCTGAGCTCCCCCAGCACAGGGTAGCCGGCCAATACCTAAGGAGCCATGAGTTGTCTAGGAGGACCCTGGATTTTCTAGCAGGCCATGGATGGGAATGAAGAATATACCATCCAAGCCTGGGTCTCACAAAGGACATCCATGTGGAAGATGCTGTTTGTTGCTTCTCTAAGTTCACACCCACCATCTGCTAGTACAAGAGCTGGAGAAAGTCATTGAATCCATGGCCTGCCAACTTCACCCACTCCTCGACAACTTCTCCACACTGCATCCAGCTTACGAACATTTCTTTGGACAGCCTGAGACAGGGAGCTCAAGTATCTTCTAGTTTATAGCACCTGACAATTTCATAACTAATTGGCATTTACTTTACTGCAAAAGGTGTGAGAAAGACAGGGAAACCAACTCTCAACTCAAAAATGTGTGGAACCTACCACTATGGCTACAGTAAAAAGATAGAAAATACCAAGTATCCACAAGGGTATGGGAACCCTCACTGCTTGGGGGAAGGCAAATTGGTACAACCACCTTGGAAAACTGTTAGACTACATACATACCTTGTGGTCTAGCAATTCTACTTCTAGATATGAACCCAATAGAAATGTATATATATTACAAAAGGAAGGTATAAGAATATTTGTTGGAGCAGTATTTGAAATAGCCAGAAAATTAAAAACCATTCAATACTCGTCACCTGTAGAATGAACAAATAAAGTGTGCTGTATTCACACAGTGGGATGCTGTACAGCAATGGGAATGAATGAACGACAGTT